CTGTGCCCACGCCTCAGTGCCCAGGCTCGCGGCAGCGTAGCTGCGGGCCGCCAGCTGGGAGCCGTTCTCGACCAGGCGCACCTGGGGGGGGGCCAAAGCCCTGGCTCGGGGACACCTGGCGTATGGGCCGCTGCCCACCAGGCACACATCTGATGCCTCCACTGGGAAGCTGGAAGACCACATGTCTGGATTCACGTGCGGGACATCCAGAGGCTACACGCTGGATGCACGTGTGGAAGCCCAGAGTGCCCAGCCATAGCCGGACTGAGTCCCCAGAAGACATCTGGCCAGCAGCTCTCGACCACGCGCCCGGTCATGAGTGCCCGAACCTCCCCAGACCTGTCCCAGGGCACGTCACGACTGGGATTTCGGGGCAAGTCCAGCCGTGGCGACGAGGACCCCCTGGGAGTTCCGAACAGAGCGAAAACTGAAAAAATCCGCGCTGCTGGTCGACGCCAGAGGCTGCACAGAAGCCATCCCCAAACGCCTCCAGGGGCCCCCCCCTGGCCAGTTGTCCGAGCTGCGCCAGGCCGCGGCGACGAGAGCCTCCAGAGAGCAACAAAACCTCCAGAACGAGGGCGCAGCGATACAGGCGGACCCGGGCCAGGAGAACACCCTGCAGGAGTAGGAAGCCCTCCGCCGGCCAAGGCACCCCCAAACCCCGAGGGCCTTCGAGGGTGCCCTCCCCGCAGGATGCGCCAGAACGTCCAGCAGACACGGAGAACCTCAGGGCACCGTCCCCGAACCGACCTCGCTCTTGCACCCCGGGCCGACTGCAAGGAGGGAGGGCTGGCGGAACTGGCACGATTCCCCCTGAGCACCAGGACGTTGACCGAGACGTTCTGGCCTCGGCTGCACGCAGAAGCAGCCGCGCGCGAGGCGACCTGCTGGCGTGCGCGGCCTGCCGACTGCTGCACGCGGTGCGGCACTGGGCGGCAATTCGTGCTTGGGTTTGGCCGCACCGCGCCGATGGAAACCGCGCACCAAAGGTCACTTCGGCGAAGGGCCACTCCCGATGATCTCCAGGACGCGTGCTACAGTCGGACCTGGGTCAGCAGAACACCCATCAATAATATCAGACCCCCCGCTAGCCAAAGCACACAGATCAGCCAAGGGTACCCTCCCCAGGGTGCACAAGAACGTGCAACAAGCACGAAGAGCATTAGCCTGGCGCAGGACCCAACCAGATGCAGTTTTGGGCACCGTCGCTGTATGCACTGCACTCGGTGGAGCTCCCTATGGGGCCACGAAACGTGTGAGGCGTGCGCCAAAATGGGTGCGGTGGGCGCATGCGAGCGTTGGCATTTAAGCCTTCGGTGGAGCTCCCTATGCGGCCACGAAACGTGTGAGGGGTGTACCGAAACAGACATGCGGAGGGGAGAGGAGGTGGGAGACGCGGGGCGCTATCTCTTCAAAACAAGGACCCAACACCACAGGATGATTGGGAATTGGGATACCCTCCACGAACCGACCTCGACCTTCTGCCTCGATCCGACTGTAGCGCCAACGTGCGCGTGTCCACCGAAGTTCTTCGGATGCACAGCGTGCGAATCAACGAGGGTCGACGCGGGCTGCACGCCGTCGAGGGGGCAGGCGACAAGTGTGAAGCACACACACGCACACACATTGGGCCAACGCACGTCCTGAGGATCATCGACGCTCCTTGCCTACGGCCATGGTCCTATTCTTAGCGTCGTGTGTGTGTGTAATTTCAGGCCCTGCGAAACCGAAACCGTTTGCACGCTGAGCAGCGCAGGGGCGCACACGCTCGGGTGAAACAGCCCTCTGGCATAGACAGTAAGCACCAACCACGCATGATACACGCTAAGCGCGGAGCACTTAGCGTGTATAGGCGCATTCCCAACTACACGCTGAGAGAAGGACCAGGACCGTAGACATCCTCCAATCAACTCTTTCAATCCGCAGCCCCAGAGCTACCGACCCCTTCCCCAAGGGTCGCTCGTCCAAGATCCATTGTTGATGGTCCCTGGGCCCGAAAAGGGCTCCCAAAAGCCAGAATCGGAGATTGCGCTTTTTGTCCGTGACGCCAGCGGTCGCCAACGCGTTCGCGAGCCGGCGGGGCGCGCCGCACTACAGGCACACTAGCGCGGGTGGAAAAGAAAAGGGCGGGCGCAGAGGCGGAGAGGGGGGGGGGCAGGCCTCCTCCGCAGAGGGATTTCGACGTGAGGAGAGCGCAACCGACCTCGGGCACCAGAAACTGCTGCACATCTGGATGGTACGCCTCAGTTTGGTGCGAGCGCGGGGAGGAAGTGAGAAGGGGCGGGCTTCATCAGAAGTTTCGGAAGTCCTCGGGCTCTCTGAGACGCTTCCCCAGGCGCCCCTGAAGACACAGAGCACCTCTCAAAAGGCCGAAGGGCTTGTGAGAAGCCCCGCCGCCTATCCTGGGAAGGCCTGCTCCGTCTCACTTTCCCCCCTTGCTCGCCGCCGATCAGTGCGAGCTGCAGAAAGCAAAATCGAGAAAACACGCCCAGATTGAAAGCCACGCCTTATTCTTACCATGATCATTATTATTTTTCTTCTTGGTATTATTCTTCTGATTCGTATCATTCTCCTTCTTAATATAATTATTGCCATCGGCGGTCTGGGCTCCTTCTGCGTGCCCCCCGGTGGCCGCGCAGCGGCTCCACCAGCTCCGGCGGCAGCGACGCCCGCACCTCCCCCTGCCACGGAGCCGCGTGGCCCTCGGGCTCGGCGGCGACGGCCGCGCCCCGCCGCAAGGCCTCGAGCAGACCTTCTCTTCGGGCGGGAGGGCGGACCGACGGCGACGGCGGCGGCGACGATGGCGAAGCCGCCTCCTCCTCCTCCTGCTCCTCATCCTCCTCCTTCTCCTGCTCCTCCTCCTCCTCCTTCTCATCCTCCTCCCCATCCTCCTCCTCCGCATCCTCATCCTCATCCTCATCCTCCTCCTCATCCTCATCTTCATCCTCGTCCTCGTCCTCGTCCTCCCTCCTCCTCCTCCTCCTCATCCTTCTCCTCCTCCTCCTCCTCCTCCTCCTCCTCCTCCTCTCTCCTCCTCCTCCCTCCTCCTCCTCATCATCATCATCATCATCATCATCATCATCATCATCATCATCATCATCATCATCATCATCATCATCATCATCATCATCATCATTATACATCATCGTCATCATCATCATCATCATCAGCAGCATCATCATCAGCATCCTCATCCTCATCCTCATCCTCCTCCTCCTCTTCCTCCTCCTCATCTGTAACATCATATTCCTCACTCCTCCTCCTGTGCCTCCTCGTCCTCCTCCTCCTCCTCTTCCTCATCATCATCATCATCATCATCATCATCATCATCATCATCATCATCATCATCATCATCATCATCATCATCATCACACCATCACCATCACCATCACCATCACCATCATCATCAGCAAACTCAGCATCATAATCGTCAACATCATCAGCATCATCATCAGCATCATCATCAACGGCATCATCATCCTCATCCTCATCCTCATCCCCATCCTCATCCTCATCCCCCCTCCTCCTCCTCCTCCTCCTCCTCCTCCTCATCATCATCATCATCATCATCATCCTCATCCTTATCCTCCACTTCGTCACCCCTCCTCATTCTCATCCTCCTCATCCTCCTCCTCCTGTACCTCATCCTCCTCCTCCTCTTCTTCCGCATCCTCACCTTCCCGTCCTCCACCGCTCCCATCGACGAGGATGGTGGTGACGACGACGTCGTCCCCTCCTCATCCTCCTCCTCCTCCTTCTCCTCATCCTCCTCATCCTCCTCATCCTCCTCATCCTTCTCACCCTCTTCATCCTCATCCTCCTCTTCCTTTCCCTCCTATTCCCCCTCCACCCTCCCCCCCTATGCCTGCTCATCCCTCTCTCACTCTCTCCCTATCCGCCTCCGTATGTTTCGGCCTCTCTCTCTCTCTTACCCTGTCTTTCGTCAGAGAATCGACTTCCCTGGACGACACAGCGTCTCCGTTGTTCCGATCTAACCCTGGGAATCCACTCACATGGACCTTGTAAACCGATGGGTCCTTGACCATATCTTCCGACATCGATGCGGTGTGCCGTCAAGTAGAGGTGAGACAGGATAGTGAGACGCGCGCTAAGAGAAAGAGAGAGAGAGAGAGAGACAAAAGAAAAACAACAAGAGAGAGAGAGAGAGAGGCGCGCGCACCCTTCTTTCCGCTAAGACGCCAGCTGCGTCCCACCCTCACACGTGTCGCGAGCCACACTCGTGCAGTGGAACGCCCACGGGAGCCCAAAAGAGAGACGCAGGGAGCGAAGGCCAGAAGCCCCCCCGCGGCGGACACCGGAGCAACTTCACCCCGCGTGCCAGCCAGCCTCCGGCACAGACTCGCCAGAGGGGGCCAATCCCAAAGACAGTCTTTGCAGCGCCACCCGTCCGAGCACATCGCACGGATTCCTGCTGCAGGGGTGAGGGCTCCGTCGCTCGACATGGCCCTGAATGTTGTTGGACGGGGACCGCGGGCACCACTGGCCCCCGAGGGCTAAGCTTCGACCTCGTCCACCGTGAGCTGCCATCCCAACCTCGACTCGAAACCGCATGCCATGAGCTGTCGTCCCACCGGTCACTTCCTGAAGTTCACGATCCATCGTCACGACCCGAACTCTTCTGCCACCGAGGTTCGGTCCGATTCTCGGTTCGATTGTCGGTCCACCATCCGCTCGTGTCGTCCCACACGTCTCTGCTACCACGGCCTCCTTCATTGGCCTGCCCCTGGCTGTCCCGCTGCCAGAGGACTGCTATTTGCCAGCAGGGGCATCGTCCAAAGGATGCGTGCGCCCTCTCTGGGTTCATTTCGCCGAGTCTGCTCCGTGACCATGGTCGTGTTCGTCAGCTGCGGCCCTGCCACGGTGACCAAAACGCCCACGCGACGCATCTCACCCGCGGTCAGGATATACGTGACGGACGATCGGGTCGGCTGTCGCGGCAACGCCGCGATCCCTTGCACCCGCCGCCTCCCTCGCCGATAGCCAGCCAAACTCGATCCTGTTCCAGGGGTTGCCCCTGACGCCAGCGGCAGTTCGGGCAGGGACACCACAGGCTCGTCATTATCATCTGTCACTTGTTTCTTGTCGGCATCAGTTCCTGAGAGAACCTGTTTCCCGCCACCTACAGATCTCGGAGATTCTGCCCCGACGTGATCCTGCATCATCAGGATCGCTACCGTAGGGAGCCTTATTCGGCTCACTCCGATGGCGCGTTCCATCTTCGCACGAGCGCCTCGCGACTTCTCATCGTCGCTGAGCCCCCAACCTCTGCCAAGGGTGTCAAGGACACCTTCAATGGCCTTACATGTATCATGTGCGTCTATTTCATTATTGACAAACTCAGCGCCGCTTGGGTCCAGGAAGTACGTCGCCTCAAGGGCGCACCTACCTCTCGACATCTCAGCACAGATATCCTGCAGCTGGGAGACCACAAATTAGCGGAACGGTTCCTGGGTCTTACTCCAACGAATGTCCTGTCAGGGGTGCACAACTTCTTTGAAGACAGGACGATGACACACATTGCATTGCGAGCAAGCCAGCCCTTGCCACCCAGGTGCCACGGAATGCGCTGCGCCTCGTAGCAAAAATCACTCCACTGCTCCAGGACCATCCGCGATATAAATCCCGAAGTTGCCTCGGAGAAATACACATGGACAACAGCTGTCGCCAGGCATTTTCTCACGCTATAACCCCGTTCCCCAGATAATAAATAATAACTCCCCCCTTAACCCCTGACTGGTTATAACCCCCGGGTCAGACATGTTTGATTGTGGAGAGGGGCGGCGAGGCCGAACTTGATTATCGCAGGGGGAAGTTGCGAAT